ACTGAAATAACCGATAGATTAACAGATCAAAAAATGATCAAGAGATTAACAGATTACTGAAATAACTGACAGATTAGCGGATCATTAATCTTTAGCTGCAGCTCTATTAACAGGACGTAGATGAAGTTTAGTTCCTACTTGCAGAACCTTTTTCTCTCCTGGTTCTGTGGGGTTTTTTTTCTGTCTATTTAGTTAAATAAAATCAGATTAATCAGTGCAAAGTAAAAATGTTTATTTAGCAGTAAATCTGCAGCAGATCAAAATCCTGCTGGGTGGACAGCGGAGCGGTGGATGCTTTCTGCAGCCGTACCTTGGTTCTGGTCAGGCTGTTGTAGAGCCGCAGCTGAGGAACCTCTGTTCCTGCGGGTGGAGACCATGGAGGCTGGACCCGCCTCCCTTTCACTGGAACAGAACCAGACAGAAACAACCCGGCAGGATCCACGTTACAACCCAGAAACATGGCTTCCTTTCATCATTCTGTCGGCTACAGTCAGCTCATCAACTCAAATTACGTTTCTGATTAGGATTAGATTTAGCATCAGTTTTAGCCTCCTGTCAATCACCATAAAAATGTTTAAAAAGTCAAAATGTTTCTTTAACGTTTGTCCAACCAGGAGGGGAAAGAAAAACTATTTGACAAAATTATTTTAAAACATGATTCTTTCCAAATCCTGTTTTCCCCTCCAATTCAGGAGAAGGTGAAGCTGTTGTCATGGTTACTGGTCTCCTTGTGCAGTCGTGTAAAAATCCTCTAAATAAATATTTTTACTACAGGAGCTCATTTTGGACCAAGAACTGACACATTTTCTATTGTTTTTTGTTTTATTTTTTTAAGAATGTTTTCTGGAGGAGGAAAAGCCCACAGCATCACAGATCCTCCACCTTATTTAACCAATGGTTAAAAAGTTTGGTTCCTAATCCAGCTGCTTTTCATTAAGCATTCAAGCAAGAAAGTGTTTCCTACAGGAACATCCTGACTGATGAAGAGAAACATCTTCTTTTCCTTTTTTTTTCCAAACAAAGGTTGCAGTATTTCCACAGCTTCTCAGTTAGAAAATAAGCTTCTGCATCAAAAACTGATTTATTTTACAGCTTTTTATTTGTCTTTACAAGCTGCTCTATTGAACTTCTTTAAAGTTAAGGAAAGCAGCCAGAGTTCAAAGAAGAAAGGTGGCAGAAAGCGAGAGAGCTGCTGGGAAAGGTTGTTTTCTAAGATTAAAGGAAAGTCAGGATCTCAGGAGGGAAACGGGACGGCTGCTTCCGGAAATCACCATTAAGTAAACCCGGATGCAGTGAGCAGAACCATGCAGGACAAACAGAGAATTTCAGACAGAATCTGGGGCTGTAGTTTGTTTGAACAACGATCAAAGCGACACAAACCGGCTGACGCTGCGGTTTGAACTCAAACGGCTCCAGAGCAGCTCTGGGTTCATGCGCAGAGGCGGAGGAAACCCGCTCCAGGATCCATCAACCGTTTACTCACTGCTGCCGTCTGCGGCGAGGTCCTGCTGCAGGGCGGAAATGTGTCTGTACCAGCGCAGAGCGTGGACGTGCTGTGGGTCGGGGGGTCTGGGAAGGAGCCTAAAGGCTCTCAAGTCGACCTGGGAGGGGCCGAAACCCGCCAGGTAGCTGCGTGAGGTGAGGTAGTCGTTCAGGGCCGCGGTGAGCACAGCCTCCTCGTTAATCTGCAGCAAGAAGCCAAACTCAAAGGCTGCAGAAACAAGAGGGCAGACGTTCGCAGAGTTACCCGCCGAGCAGCAAGTGGCAGAGAAGTCAGCAAAGCTCATCACTCACACCTTTTACTCCTCATGTTTTACTTCCAAGCAGCCAGACTCTCCTTCAGCCTTTGACAGGTTTAAGAAACGCCAAAGCTGCTTTGATCCAGATCGCTTTCATAGTTTAACTAAAACTTCAGCTGCTTCAACACAAAACAACTAAGAAATTAAAGCCAATCAGCTTTTCCAGGGAACCACAGACTGAGTAAAGCTGATATGAATAAATGAAACAAAAGATGGCTAAGTAAAAGAAAACAGCTTTATTATAGAGTTAAAGTCCTTTCTGCCTCTCGATGGACTTAATTGACACAAACCAGCAGCTGATTTCTAATAAGATGCATTAAATAAGCTGAACTCAACAATGTTTAAATAAACTAAAACGTCTGTTAAGATTAAACAAAACAACGGAAGAGGATTTATATAAAGCTCACGAACAAAAGACGGTGAACATCCAGCCAACTGATCAAATAACCCAACATATAGCAAATGGGATCCAACATAATGAAACTGATCTAATGAATGTAAAACATGGGAATCCCATCAAATCAATGATAATTGAATGAATCGACTGATCCTCCTCTGCTTCAACCACTGCTCTGACTGACCATCAGGTGCTCAGGAAACTGCCTGCTAGTTCTGATTCCTGTTTAAAAGGGGAAATCTGCTAATTCTATCAATGGTCTGCATGTGGAGCAGGTTTGTTTTTCCTTTTCCTTTCTTACAAACAAGATGATGAAGAGCTAAAAATATACAGAGAACATGAAAGTGAAATAAAAGGCTGTAACTTAGCAGAACTATCACAGGGAAACACATTGGAGGGAAGATCAAGAGCAGGATGAAATGAAAGAGAAAGCAGCAGAGATATAAATGCAATACGTTTATTTAATTTAAGCTTTTAGAAGTAGTGATAATGATAAAGGGTAACAGGAGCTGCTTAGATTTGTTAAAAGGAAGGTGAGTGGCAGCCTATTGTTTAGGACATAGAGCCTGGAATCCAGAGGTTCTGAGTTCAAGTCCCACAGACTGCCACTCTGGGTCCCTGAGCAAGACCCTTCACCCCACACTGCTCCCTGGGTGCTGCACAATGGCAGCCCACTGCTATCCAAGGGGATGGGTTAAATGTAGAGAGTTTATTTCATTGCTCTGTAGTTGTGGCAGTGTAATGACAATAAAAGCTGGGGGGAGAAAAACAAAATTTTTTTTATGGAACTAAAGAAACATTTAGATCTTCTTTTTTTGTTAGTGTTGGCATAAAATAATCAGATTTTAATAAAGCTGCTATAAGCTTCTATAAACAGGAAAATAGATACAGTAATCATTTTTAAACCACAACACATATGACTGAGTCGATCAGCTGACAGATGGACAGAAGGGAACATTTAGAGAACATCATATGTTTTAGGTTAGATAAAGACTTTACCAACTTAATACAATACGCCGAATGGAGAATCTCTGTTATAGCTTGAAGATCGCCAATTTACTAATGTGTCTGTGTTACAGAAGTCAAACGCTGCCATTAAAAATCTTAAATTGTTGTGTTTTTAAATGGAGTTATGTTGCTGTAGCCGAGCTACAGCTAATAGTGGGCTAGTTTGAACCGACAGCCACTGAAATATTAAAACGAAACTGTTTGTGGTTTTATCGACTGAATATCTCAGTAATCGGGGATAAAAACAGTCAGTTAATGAAAGGAAAATGTGTACCTGTGTCTGCTGAGCTCGACATTTCCACAGGGCTGAATGAGATGCTGATGCAATAATAACCGGGACCGGAAGGAGAAACAGGAACTAATGTTTTAACACTTGGAAGCAGGGGACGCCTATGTGTGACGGA